ATGCAACATATATATAGTAATTTTATCTTACTTTTTATTTTATAAATATAATTTGGATTATTCATTTTATAATTAAATTAATTTTTTAAAATTTTTTATGAGTTTACATTCTAAGAATGTATTGAAACCCCTCAATCTTTGATTATTAGATAGCAACAACATGGATATTTTGATTATTAGACATTATGTTATAATTCTACTGATCGTACTATATGTTATTTTTAAATTTGAACTCCTAAACTTTATTTGTTATGTATGACATTTTATTTTGTATGAATGAACTTGTTTTGAATTACATAATTATGATTGATTTAATATCTTTAAATAGGATAATTATTTAATACAAATTTGAATTAAAAAAAAGATAATTTTTCACAGAATTTTCCATGGATTTCCCACGGATTTATCCGTGGGTAATTTCACAGAATTTCCCACGGAAAATAAAGTTATGACAATATTTGGAGATTAAAGTGACATTAAATTTTAGTAAAAAAATGATATTAAGTTAAAATTTTAGAGACTAAAGTGATATTGAGTTATAATTTCAAGAATTAAAGTTACACAGTGTTATAATTTTAGGAATTAAAATGATATTATATTTTATAATCATATGTTATGTAGAACATATGTAACGTAGTGAGGAGATTTTTGAGCTTAGTTGACTCTAGAGAGAGAAGAGTATATAAGGGTTTCTCTGAGAATGGGACTTCATAAGTTTATTCTCAAAGAAACTAGAGAGAAGTTTTAGAGAGAAAGACTCTGGGTCTGTGAGCTCATTTCTCTCTCAAATTTCTTTGGTTGATTCTTCTTCTTCTCTAGATCACTAACTTCTTCTGTCTTCTTTTGGAATTCAAGCTAAGACGCTTGATTTTGAAGGATTGAAGTTCGGGAGTCGAACTCGGAGAAAAGTTTTCTTCTTCCCAAATTCTTGATTGTTCGGAGTCAATCTTCAGGTAAGGGAAGCTAGAATGTATGTTGTTTGGTTGCATGAGAGTTTAGGAACTCCATTGATGTATGGAATTCGAGAATAAATGGTTGAATCGGGTGATTTCCTCATTTTTGGGGTTTTTGGGAAAAATAGGGTTTTTGTCAATTTTGATGCATTAATTGGTTGCATGTTGAATCTGAACTCGATTTTGAGTTGTAGGGAGTCTATATATATGTTGCATTTCATGGATTGCATGTGGTTGAAGTTGCTGATTTTCAAGTTTTGAAGGGATTTTTGAGGTTTTTGGAGGTTTCTGGTTGAATATGCGCCGAGCGTGCATTCATCCGAGGCCACCAGTGTTAAATCAAGCTGGGTGCGAGGCTAGTCGCGTTGGGTGTGGAGATTCTTGTGAGTCTCTGTTTGAGTTTGTGTCGGGCCTGATACTAATGCGCCAGGCGTGAGTATGTTGATCTTTAAGTCTTCATGAAAGTTGTAGCCTTGGATGTTAGCTTTCCAATGGCGCTGGAATCACCCAAAAAGGAGGTCTAGAACTCCATATATGGTTGTTTTAGTGAAGAGGGGTCAAGCTGCCAGCATTGGTTATAGCTGTTGCGGTTTTTAGAATTTTTAACAAAGTAGATGAAGGAATTAGGACTTGGTGTCTTCATGATAGTTGTAGTAAATCTTCTTATCTTTCATATGAGATAAGGATCAGCATGATAGGAGTAGTATTACTCCCGATATTCTATTTTATGTAAAGGTTGTCATTTCACAAGGAGTGATTTGGATAAGTTGAAGGCTATCTTGGGTGTGTAGGTTAATTCATGTTGTATATGTTGTGTAGGTTGGCATGATGGATGAGTTGTAAACATGATGGGTAAGTTCTATTATGTGTTGAATATGTTGTATGTTGTGAAGTTGTTGATCTATTATATGTTGAATTGATGATATTGTTGAAACATGTTGAAGTTAAGTGGTTAAAGTTGTTTTATGTTATGAGTTGTCTAATTATGTTGTGAAATATGATGCGATGATATAGTTGAAAGTTTTGAAGTGCATGATGATAATATTGTGAGAAGCATGATGTGAAGTGTGTAGAGGTATTGAGATTTATATAGAAGTTATTAGTAGACTATGTTGCTAAGTTGTCAAAGGAAAGTTGTATGTTGTTATAAAGTTGTATGTTGTACTATGTGTTGAAAAATATTATTTTATGATGATTGAGTTGTAAATTAGGAGTTGAGCCGTTAAGTTGTTGAGCTGAGTTGTGCTATTGAGTTGATCATGTTGTTTAAGTTGTTAAGTTGAGTTGTGTTGTTGATTTGATCATGCTGTTTAAGTTGTTGAGCTGAGTTGTGCTGTTGAGTTGATTATGTTGTTTAAGTTATTGAGTTGAGTTGTGCTGATTAAGTTAATCATGTTGTTTAAGTTGTTGAGCTGAGTTGTGCTGTTGAGTTGATTATGTTGTTTAAGTTATTGAGTTGAGTTGTGCTGATTAAGTTAATCATGTTGTTTAAGTTGTTGGGCTGAAGAACCCTGTGCCTTCCTTCTCATCTCTTCATTAAAAGCATCACTCTTTGCCGCTTGTAAAGAAACAACACCATTAGGGGCCGAGTTGGTAATAGAAACTCGAAATGTCTCCCAAGACTCAGGTAAAGTATTCAGTAGCCATAGTCCCAAAACTTCATCATCAAATTTTATACCCATTCTGGATAACTAATCTAGGAGCCCTTGAAATTCATTCAAATGATCTGAAATGGAAGAACTCTCCCTGTACCTCAAATTCATCAGACAATTTAACAAATATAATTTATTATTCCTTGATTTAGAAGCATACAAGGACTCAATCTTCTCCCATAAAGCTCTAGCATGTGTCTCATTTGCAATGTGATTATAAACATTGTCTTCTACAAATTGCCGAATAAAACCACAAACCTGTTGGTGCTCAAAGTCCCATTCTTCTTCAGACATAGAATCCGGCTTTTGAGTAGCAAAGACAGGAAGATGCATTTTCTTCACAAATAGCAAGTCTTTCATCTTGCCCTTCCACAAATGATAATTTGTGCCATTCAAAGGAACCATTTTTGTATTTGCCTCCATCATTTAAGCAAGTAAATATAGCCCCAAACCAAAGAGCTCTGATGCCACTGTGATAGGGGAAACAACAATAGAATAATCAAGAGTATCAAAGTACGCAGCGGAAATAATTCCCCCAACTTGCAAAAACCAACGAGGAGCAACAAACAAATAAATGGTAGAAAATAATCACAAAGAGACACAAATATTTTTAACGTGGGAAAACCCTCTCAATGTGAGAAGTAAAAACCCACGGGCACAAGCCAGTCAATCAAGCTCCACTATGATCAAATTAGGGTACAAGAGAGTTTAATCAAATGCATAAACAAATGCTTACAACCAACCGATATATTAAAGCAACAAGGCTTTCCAACTGAAGAATAAAGAAGAAGAAACCTCAAATTAGAGCAACTGTACGAAATTGATTTCTCTAACCACAGACCTCCAATCCACGATCCCAACGGTCAAAACGAAGATCACCGTGTTAAGAACCTGCTGTAAAATTTCCAGCCCGATCCAACGGTAAACGAAGTGGAGATCGCAATTTTACTGAAACTGCTCTGTGTGTGGGAACCAAATTTTTGCTCTTTTTCTCTCTCTGGCAGTTGTGTAATTTTTTCTCTCTCTTGTTCTTCCTAAGAGACCCCTCTCCACTTGTTTTTTAAGTGAGACAAAATTGGGCTTCTCAATTTTGGGCCTTTTCCCCACATAAGAAGAGAGCCCAATACCCAACAATATATACTAAAAACATTAAACAAATTTAAAAGAAGGAAGGCTTTTTATTTGAACTCAAATCGTACGTTAGGGATGGAATCAATCGTCACAATGAATATTTGATTCTTCAATCACTGGTGTTTGATTCTTCAATCGGTAAAATAAAAATTGGTGATATAAAAATTTAATCAGCCCACTGAAAATCGATTTGGAGGAACACAGGAAGAATAAAAGAAGAACCAGGCTTTCTCAAAATAAATAAATAAGAACTAATACTTTAAAATGTGTAATATAATATATTTTTATAGAGTAATTTTAGTTATTATACTTAATAATTAATGATTTACATTAAATTTTAACTATTTAACTGTTAAATTAAAATTCTTAAATGATTAGAATAAGTATATAAATTTATACAATATAGTTTGAAAATTATATATATTTTTTATATATATTTAAATTAACATGTAATTATGGATATATATTAATTTAAATTATATAATAAAGTATTAAATAATTTTCAAAATTCAATTAATATTTAATATATTCCTACTGTCATTTTAAATAAATAAAAATTGTTTATTAATTATTTTAATTCACTGTCATATATTAAATATAATCGACTATTTTATACAAGATATTTATATGAATTTTCTCTTTTATGAAAAATGAATTTAGGGAACTTTTCTTCAATAAGAAGTATTTTAGAAATTATTTTAACTTCTTATCTATTTCAATTTTTCTTATCATATTTATTGATAAATTAAATTTTAATATTTTAAAATAAATTATCAATAATTAAAAGTAATTGCATGTTATTGTGTAAATTATTTGTCATAAATCTAAAATTTAATTTATAACTTTAAAAATACCCATTTATATATAAATTTAAAATATAATTTATATATTCAAATAAAATATTTATTTGTATATATAATTTATTTATATATATATATAATTTATTTAAATATTTAATTACATATAATAAATATTTAATTTGTATACTACAATAATAAGGTTAGTGGTCGGAAAAAAAGGAGTTAAAGTAATTTAAAGCATGCAAATCCAAATTCGAACTTTATTGTAAAATATTTCTTATAATATTTTTTATCTTTATAAAAAATATATTTCCTATATAACACAAAATAAAATAGTAACTTTTATATAAAATAAACCCAAATTAGAAGCATGAGGACTTAAGTTCAATCTTCATTATGGTCATCTTTGTAATCTTTCTTAATTTTACTAAAAAAAAATAACCAAACAAATAGTTAACCGACAATATTTAATAATTACTTAAATTGATCGTTCAAAATAAATGATAAAGTGTTAATCTTTTAAAAATCTTAAACATGAATTGACTCTTTGGGTGAGCATATATGGCAACCACTTATATATTCTCTAATTAAACTCCTAGGTGAATCTTTATTGAAGGTTTCCTTTGATCTCAAAACAGTTCTCAATGTGACATTTTGATGACAACCTTCACACAATTGGGCTGTTTCAACATCTCAAACGCTTTGTTTATATCCATCAATGAGACCTCATGGGTGGATAGTTCTTGAAGAGGGAATTCCTGTATAAAGTAATAGTCGACTAACATCATTTTCAAATACTTGACATGAAATATACGTAGCAAAGAACCAAACAACAACAAAAAATGTTCTACTATAATTAATTAAATGTCTAGTGGATTACCTCTTTCTGGCATTTGTTAGCCATGATGGAGAGGTCTGATATGGGTTTTAAACCCCCGAAAACAGAACCTTTCAGAGTTCTACCATAGATAATGCTTACAAGACCAAACGGGATAATAGGTTCAGTTCCTGCACCAATTGCTATTGTTTTGCCTGTTCCCTACATGTAATAATTAGGAACAAAACATTATAAGGATGAGGGAAAATAAAGGAAAACAATGTATGTAGACTCATGAAAATACATACATGTTTAAACTTTCATAAATATTTTTCAAGGGGAAAAAAAAATGAGATAAACTTCTCATAAACTAAAACTAGCTTAAATACAAACTAATTTCATAGAAGTTTTTACTTATTAGTTTTTCCAAATATTTTTAAATTTTAATTTATCAAAAGACTTATTTCAATTTATTTCTTAGAACCTCTTCTTGAAAAAAGTTATTCAGCTATACCCCAAAATCTTAAAAATATGGATGATCAAGAATTATTATTTAATCTAGAAAACCAAAAGTGTTGCACTATTAGATGAAACTTACCACTTTTGTGGCTTCCAAAGATTCAGTAAGTAAAGGAGCAACTCCAGTGCACTCAAAGGAATAATCCACACCCATCCCACCACTTAGTTCCTTAACTAATTCTGAAACAGACTTGGTAGAATCATCAGGATTTATGAAGTCAGACATTCCAAAAGCCTCTCCCTTTTCTCTCTTCATCTCATTTTTATCAATTCCAATTATCTTAGTTGCCCCCTGCATTTTGGCTCCACTTATAGCCTGCAACACAAGGTCAATGTCATATACAATATAAGTAAATTTATAGTTTAAATATTTTTTAATTCTTTAGATATGAAGTAAAGTTTTCTTTTTTAACCTCGAGTTTTTTAGTTTAAAAAAAAGTATTTTAGATTCTATGCTGAAATGTTATTAATGAATATGTTAAATATTACATACAAAATATATTAAATTCGATGTCATATAATTATCTCAATTTAATAATTATGTTGGTGATATTTTGAAAAATTAAAATGCGATATTTTAAGTACATGTTTGGATTGGATTTTTAAACTTGAATTTATACTTTCTCTCCACGTTGAAGATGGATTTTACGTAGAAGCAAAAATTTTTTGCTTCAACTAAACGTGAAAATTCACGTTTGCATTGAAACCCAAACATGCACTAAAATTTTAGAGATGGAAAAAATCGATTTTAAATTTCAAGAAATAAAATCAAATTACCCTAAATTTTGTAGATAGAAAACATATTAAAATCTAAATTTATTCTTTTAAAAAAAAGTCAAATAGAAAAAGATAAGATTCAATGGATGCATATATACCCCTAATCCAACAGCTCCAAGACCAAAAACAGCTACACTGGTTCCACTTTCAACCTTGGCTTCCTTCCAAGCAGCTCCAAAACCAGTTGAAAACCCACATGAGATGAAGCTTCCATGGACTGGATCAATGGTTGGATCAACTTTGAGAGTGTAGTTGACATCACTCACCATGTACTCTGACCATGTAGCACAACTTAAAACATGGTGCAGCCTCTGCCCTCTGATGGACATTCTTGAAGTGTTATCTGGCAATAGACCTGTGAATCTTAAAGGGTATTTGAGACACAAATTCGTTTTTCCTGAAATACAATTCTCACATTCTTCACACTCCCCTATGTATGTTGGAATTACCGTATCCCCTTCTTTCAGATTTCTCACTTCATCACCAACACTCTCTACAACACTGCAATTAATAAAGTCACGTGAAATTGAAGGAACTAAACAAAAATTTAAAAACTAAAACTTATATTTACTTTTATTATAATCTTATCTCTAATCAATAATAAAATGACAATGACTCTCTGCAATTGTGTATTTTGAGAAAATATTTTGAGGGACAAAATATTTAAATACATATAATTTAAATTATCTATAATATATTAAAAATATATACTATTTAAAAGGAAAGAAAAAATTTGTGGATGGTTGTAAGCATGTTTGAAAACATAAGCTCATTATCAAACCTGGTTAAATCTATATATATATATAAGTATGTATGTAATTATTTTATTATTTTAGATATGGGTTGTCATGTTTAACAAGTCTCTTAACTATATTATTTAGTACAAAATTTAAGTAAAATTTCTTAAGTATTGTTGATAATGTTCACTAATTAGAATAATTGGAGATTTATTTTGAAAATATGTGTAAAAATATATTTATGAAATTTGTATTAAATACATGTGTATATTGCTGAAGTAAATTTAATTGTAATTTTGATTAGAAAATAACACTAATCATACTTAAGTTTTGTCATATTATTTATAGAAACACACTAAAGAGAAAGGCACTATTTATGGAGCTTACCCAATTCCTTCGTGTCCAAGTGCTAGAGGATACTTGGTCTGCAATTAATTTGTTTGTGAAAAACCATTAGAGGAAGAAAGACAACGAATATATATATATATATATATATATATTGAGAAAATTATAATGAGACTTTGAAAAGATTCTAACATATGGGAATCCTTGAATGCTTGAGATGTCTGTGTGGCATATACTAGCACAAAGCATCTTAACTCGAACTTCTGTTGCTTTTGGTGGGTCTACTTGTATCTCTTCCACCGTCACAGGTTTTCCTGCACCCCAGCATATCGCAGCTACAATATACACACACCAAAATTTTCACATATATGCAAAAAGCCAGAGACATCTTATGCCCACTTGCCACATCAACATAAAAATTAGTGTGTGAGTTGCTTAAAATTTACAAAAAATTACTTATATAAGTATTAGTTCTTAAGAAAAAAAGAAAAAAAAAATAAAACTGATGTAACAAGTAAAGTTATTTATAAACAATCTTACTAAAAAAAATACCTTAGGACCTTAATTTGCATATTTAACAAAGACACAAGAAATACGAAAGTGGTAATAAAACAAGCTTGCTTGAGAGATACCTTTGCATGTGATAACCTGCGAGGTGTTTGGCATTTTAGATATTTCCTAGTTAAATCAAATCAAGTACGGTTCTAAGGGTGTTGATCACTCCTCTATATAACAAGATATGAATAGTGAGTCAATGGTGTCATAAAATAAATTTATTACTAATAAAGTAAGATGCATTCAATATTACCCAAATCCTACGTAACACTTTTCATAAATGACGACGAAAAAGGACTACTACAGTACAATTTACAACTGGCAGGAGCAGAATTTGTAATTTAATGTCTTTTAATTTATGAGTTGTATGATTTGAATAGACATTTTCATCAAGGACGGAGCCAAGGGGGACCTACGGGTGCCACGGCCCCCCCAACAATTTTAATTTTTTTTTATATACATATATATTACTATATGGCACCCCCTATTTTTAATATAAACTCATATGTATAATTAAATGAATAACCCAAATTTATTTTTTTATTCAACTTTTGGACTTCTGGTACGGCCTGCTATGTGGTATCACTTTGGAATTTTTTTTTTTTTAAAAAAATGTAGCGCCTCATTTGATCATTCCAATTCTCGGCCCCCCAGTATTGAAATCCTGGCTCCGTCCCTGATTTTCATTCCTCTCCATCAACATTTTTGATAAGCAATGACGGATCCAGAAATTTTAGATAATAGGAATAGTATTTATTTATATATTAATAATATTAAAAATTTTACATATAA